CACCCAGACCCAGGGTCACAACGCCTTCCTAGGAATGTGGACTAAGAAATATGGACCTAGGAATATGGACCCTTTAGTCTAATGTCTTTCACCAATTGAGAAATTGTCAGTAAATAAAACACTTGAGTGCACCCGAGGGAGCTGAAAGAGATTCTCTGGAGGATGAAACAAGGTGAAGAGACAAAGTCAAGCAGAAAAGACAAAGAAGGTATCATTGGATGATCTGTAGTCTCTGGTGGACATAGTAGGACAGACTTCAATTAGTTTTTGAAACCCTTATCTCAGTCTTTAGTAAATTCTATGATAAAATTGTCAGCCTCTTCAATGGCGTCTTATTATCCTCATCAGGGACGAGTGTCCACCTGGGCACCTGGTACAGTTCTAGTCATGGAGGCAGGGGAGACGGTCTGCTGAGTTGTTCCTTTTCCTTCAGGAAAAGAGAATTGCAGAACTGTCTCTGCCCCTTTTCCAGTCAATATATAATATATGTGTGTGACCCTTGGGACTGTTGTCACCATGTTACTGCATGATGGGAGTCACTGGGAGGGGGGCGGTGGTGAAGGTGACTTTCTGGATGCATCAGTGTGGAAAATTGAGAAAAGAAACTTCCTGGGCACATGAGCTGTCAAATTATTCAATCCTGGGCCTGCTCACATCCAGGCTTCTTGTTTCATTAGGTTGTGATTTTCCTCATTGTTTAGTCAGCCTAAGTTGTGTTTCTTCACTTTCTGCTGAAGTAGTCGCACATAATAATCCAGAGGCCTTGAGATAAATAAGTAACTAACTGGATAATTAGAAAAAGCCCCAAGTGATGTCAGTTACTGTGTGGTTAATAATGTGGTAGACAGGAGACCTTGCTGGATTCTAAGTGTGTGTTCACATCTATTTTATCTAGATTAGCAAAATATTTTGTATATCCATTAAGTACTATTCCCATTGAGACCCTTGATTTAACATTAATTCTTGATGAGTAACCCCTAAATAATACATGTGGTGGTTATTAAGTAATAATTTATATTACCAGTACAAACTTTCATTTGGGATATATTCCTCCACCTGATGTAAAATCAGCCCATAAGGCAGAAGTCATTACACTTACTAGAGTTTGTCAATTAACCAAAGACCAGGATTAAATACAGATGCTCTACAGTAGTGCAGAATTCTAAAACATGCTGCAGGCAGAGCATATTTTATTTGCTCTACTTAAATTTTCTGGAAACTCCATCAAAATGAACAACAAGAAAAGACACCCTTAAATAAATTACTACATTCTAGAGACCTGACATGTAAATTTGAAACCAAATGCAAACTAAGAGAATAACAAAGCACTAGTATGGAAGCTAGAATAATATTCTGGTGCATCATTACATGAAACACGCAGTCTTAACCTGGTTTGTAATATTATCTAAACATAGAAGGCATTGCCATTGTTCATATCGTACAGAACCATTCACAATATTCTGGATATGTTGAAAAATGGCATCTTTAAATAAAAAATACAAAACCTTCTAATAAAATATGAACTCTCTCTCTCTCTCTCTCTCACTCTGTCTTTCTCTCTCTATTTTTTAAGATGGAGTCTCACTCTGTTGCCCAGGCTGGAGTGCAGTGGCGGGATCTCTGATCACTGCAAGCTCAGCCTCCCAGGTTCACACCATTCTCCTGCCTCAGCCTCCCAAGTAGCTGAGACTACAGGCACCCGCCGCCACATCCATCTATTTTTGTGTGTGTGTGTGTATTTTTAGTAGAGATGGGGTTTCACCATATTAGCCAGGATGGTCTCAATCTCCTGACCTCGTGATCCACCTGCCTAGGCCTTCCAGTGCTGCAATTACAGGCATGAGCCACCGCACCTGGCTAAAATATGAAAACTCTCTTGGCCAAGAGTTATCCCACTAGCACTATGGCACTCTTGTCCCTCCCTCAGGACACATCAGTTACTACTCTATGACTCTGAAGCTGTAGGATTCATACATTGAAAAATTTGACCCTCATTGCTCACCTCCGTCCTGTTGCGTGCATGTGTTACACAATATTGAACGTAATTTTTGTATTATACTCACTTCAATCACCAAAAGTTTAAGGTGGCCTTCTTATGTCATCTTTTAACAGTGTTTTGTGATCTTCAGCCATGGAATTATGTATACCAGAGGAAACATTAGGAAAAACAATCTGCTGTTGAAACATATTGCAATAAATCTTATCAGGCACTACTGACCAAAACTCCGCAGAAAAAATTTAGGGAATCAATTCTTGTGTTGATATTTTGTGCTTAAAGAATCAGTTCAGACCAGACGTGGTGGCTCATGCCTATAATTCCACTGCTTTGAGAAGCGAAACCAGGCAAATCATATGAGACTAGGAGTTCAAGACCAGGCTGGGCAACACAGTGACTCCATTTCTTTTTCTTTTTCTTTTTTTTCTGAGACAGAGTCTCGCTCTGTTGGAGACCCCATTTTTATGAAAGATTTTTTTTAAATCATCTGGTTGTGGTGGTGCACCCCTCTTGTCATAGCTACTCAGGAAGCTGAGACAGAAGGATTGTGTGAGCCAGGAGTTCAAGGATACAGTGAGCTATGATTGTGCCACTGCGCTCCAACCTGTACAACAGAGTGAGAGCCTATTTCTAATTATAATAACAATAACTAAGGATATTTCACAATTGTAAGGCTACTCAATTAGAAGATATTAGAGTGGGTATGCTCAGGAATCCTCTGGGCTTCTGATGTTTTGGAGCAGACAGCTCACCTAAGACATTCAGAATAAGCAGATGATTTTAGAGAGTCAAAAGTCTCCACACAAGACATTGGGACAGGACCCTTGTCTAATCCCCTGCACCGTGTCTTTCACCTCGTTCTCCTCGTTTTTCCTTTTCATTATTATTTGCTTATTCTTTTAAACAGTCTTCTCATTTTTTTGTAGACCTGGTCAACCCATACTCATGATTTTTGTAGTTGCTGCATAGAATAAATCATCAGACTATTGTTTTGAGCCTGACTGTTGATAAGTTAAGGCTCATTCCTGCATCATCTCTTTTCTTTCTCACACGAGATGAATCATCTAGTTAGGAATCATGGGAACTCCCTCATTTTATGCCATTTGGAGGTTCAAGTTCCACAAACTCCTTTCTGTGAGTGAGAACCCTCACTTTGCCTCCACTACCAAGCCACTATAGGAACCGTGAGCCAGTCTCCTTTCTTGCTGTATTTAGTCATTTTGGACATTCCTGAGATACGAGCACTAATCTTGGCAGACACATCAAGAGGTAATTAATCTTTCCATATTTACATGGGGGAATGGGTGGCACCCCTGGATGTGAAATCCACACTACATTTGAGTTGAGATCTCTTGGCCTTTGCATTCTTTCAACTAGAACTGATGCTGTGAGCTTGGTGCCACGATTCCTAACCACAGGACACACCTGTTCCCTCAGTGAACTCCAGGACAGAGCTGGACATGCCTGGTGTAGTTGATTAACCCCCTTTATGTTATGAAATCATGACATTATTTTGTTGTATTCTAGTTTTTCCCTAAAAATATAGGTAGTCGTAGGGTTTATTCACGTGTATATTCCGGATTCTTTGATTTCTCATATATATTTAATTAAATCTTTAATTCAGTGTTGAGAAATTTAAAATTTCTTTAGTTTGTTGAGTGAAGTCCTTAATGCCTTTGTTCTGTGATTTTCTTTTTTCCATTTCTCACTTATTTTATTCATCTGTCTAACTGATTTTCTACCAAATTATATGTGTTTAAATTTGTAATATTTTAATGAGGTAAAATTAGCAAATAATAGCCATCCCATAACGTGTACAATTTGAAAATAGTGACATAACCATTACCTTTCTCAACACAGAAAAAAATCAGCTACCCTCAAAATTTCCTCATTTTCATATAACTCCTGCTTCCTCCACCTTCCTTTCTCACACCATGTTCAGAGTCAACTACTGCTTTTCTTTATGTAACATTAGTTTTCATTTTATAGAGTTTATAAAAGTGGAATAATACGTATGGGCTTATATTTGTTTGTCTTATGTTACTCATCATATGTACTTGTGAATTTACCCTCGCTGTTGAGCGTATCCAGCAGTACCTGATTGTGACAGTGGGTGTTTTTCCAGTGAATGAATTTACCACAATTTGTTTACTGATTCAGCTTCTGATTGATATTTGGATTGCTTTCAGTATCTGGGTATTATTTTAAAAGCTGCTACTCATCTTAGAGAAGTACACAGCTGAGAAACACAATGTTCTTATTCTTACAGCAATATGAACAGCAGCTAAACTGGAAAAGCTGAAGTTTAATCAATTGTCTTCAATACATCAGGTAGTTGAAGTCATAGAATTCTCTTTCTGTGTGTGTGTGTGAGTGTGTGTGAGAGACAGAGAGAGAGTTTGTGAGTGAGAGAGGAGGAGGGAAAAAGGGAGAAAGAAGTAAAAGAGATCCTACATAATTGACCATAATTTATGAGGAGCTCAAATAAATACAGGGACTCAGAGTCTTAATGGATAAGGTCCACATTACATGGAGAGGACGACTCGATGCACCTACATATGGTTATATATTTCTATAAATGCCATTTTCTAATTATACAAAGAATCACGTACATGAGAGCAAACATAGTAGAGGATGTCCAATGGTGAAATATGATGGTGATGCCAAATCCCATCTCCAGCACCTTTTCCCCCCGATTGCATCTGCCTTGATGTGTGTCCTGAGCGCCCCCTGGTGTCCTGAGCGTCTCCTGCTGTTCCCGAGCTTCCCTGCAGGGAGATTTGTCTGGGCTCACAATGTTTTCCCCTCGCTGTGTCTTTTGTGTAAAAATCCATGGTTGTGTACACGTTGCTCAGGGAGCTCAGCTGTAGGAAAAACTGTTTTTTGGATGTGGATCTGGAGATGGTGACTGGACTCTTGAGGAGTGGGTTGGATTGTGCACTCCCTCATGACCTGTGCACCTGATTCACTCCAGTCCCTTCCCTGGGGGGCTGATGATGCAGCTCTAGCAGGAAGCACTGGTTGTGATGGAGAATGCAGGCATGGCATAGGTGAGGGAGAGGGTCTGTGAGGGCTTCACCAGGCCAGGAGTGCACCAGGAATCATAGTTGTCGGCATGCACAGGTTCTGAACAACATGCTGAAATTCACAAATAAGCACCTTTTGATGAAAATGAAGAACTCCCTGTGTGGATGAGAAGGAGGAGCTCCCTGTGTGGATGAGAATGAGAAGCTCCCTGTGTGGATGAGAATGAGGAGCTCCCTGTTTTGCAATTTGTGGGTCCCCAAGTGCAAATAGCAGATTCTGAAGTTAGAATGAGACAAGTATATGGTCACATTTTTTCTTCAAACTTTCAACCAAATAAGAAAGACAAAGTGCTGACAGAAGAATGGGCATTGGGTTGTTAGCTCAATCTATGATAATGGCGATTTTTCAGAATCAGATTGTCCTGTGATAGCCTAAAGTGTGTCGTAATCCCGAATCCACAATTAGACCTAAGCAGCAATCACAGGCAGTGGAGGTCTCCCTACATGAGGAAACATCTGACTGCACAGCTGCACATGGGGGTCTCTGCAGGCCCTTAGTTGTACAGGAACAGCTCCTCCCTCAGACTCAGAGTGCGGACAGGTTATTCTTTATCTGGGGGAGGTGAAGGTGAGTGTGTGGAAAGAAGCAAACTCACTCTAATCAATATCTCTGTACTTGGACAGAAACCAAAGTTTACAAGAAATTATGAACTTGGTGTAAAGTAGGAAATTACAATTGTTTGCAGGCTGCACTCTTGCTTCTTTATGTCATCTAACAGAACCAAGGAAAATCACGTTTTCTTATGTACATATCCATAAACGGTATTTCCATCCTGATAACACACCTCCGATACCACCAACATCAGGGAACACCTGGACCAGGAACCCAGCACAGCTCTCTGACATCTATCACCCAGTTTTTGACAAAGAGACACATCCTGGAGCTCCTCCCAAACAATGACTGTGCACAGTGAAGATGCGAAGGTGTGGCTGTTGCTGGGCACATGGGGGATTCCTGATGGGAAACTATGCTCCAGGAGAAACCAATGGCCTTGATGGAATTAGCCTGGACCACAGGGTTGTTAGGAAGCTCCATCAGAATCCCACCCTTCTCCAGCACTGGTTGTGAGATTGGCATAGTGGGCTGACAGTGCCTACAGTCACAACCGACCTCCTGCGCACTTTTCTCCTCTTGCCTCTCCCCCAGACTCCATCACCTGCACCTCACACTAGACACCTACAAACTAGGGACATTTTGGTCAGAAACTGCCACATATAATCACTGTTTTTTCACTCACATCCACTCACACTCAATATCGCTAGTTCTCCATTTTTTTGCCTTTTAAAATAGGAACAAGAAAACCCAGCTCAGCCCTAACTCTATGGTGAGCCACGTGTGTTCAGAGCTGATCATCAAATCGAATCTCCAGGTAATGCTGGACTGGGGCTCTTCTCCCAGAGCTGCAGGGTCAGGGCTCTACTGGTTGTCATCAGGAGAGGGAGGGCCCTATTTTTTTTTTTTTTTTTTTTTTTTTTTTTTTACGGTCTCCCTCTGCCAGCTGGTCATGCATCTCACTCACTGCAGCTCCCCTCCTTCACCCTTCCCCCTCACCTCCCATGCTGCTACACGCCCCCCCCCTGCTAGTTTTTTTTTTTAGTAGAACGTTCACCGTGTCACCAGGTCTCCTCCTACCTCGTATCCGCCCCCCCCCCAAGCACAGCAGCCACCGCCCCGAGGCCCTATTTTCACTTCCCCTCCTCTGTAGCAAACGCTCAGGTGGGACGCCTGAGGAGAGAGCAGAGCCCAGGGCAGATGTGAGACTCCTGCGGGAGTTTACTGTTGATGGCAGCATTTGGAAAATATAATTTCCTGTTAGGTGATTTTCTCATTAAAATGACTAGCAATTATTATTTTATTTCTCTTTCACACATTTGAAACAATAGAAATATAACTACATTTATGAAACATTAAGACATATAAGAGGAGAAATAGAAAACAATAAAAAAACTGAGGAGAATTCAACACCTCACCCTCAATAATGTATAGAACATCCACAGAAACATTCTTAGGAAGCCCGTGGACTCAAGCACTGTTGAACAAACTGACCTAATAGACATCTACAGAACATTCCAACCAACAGCAGTGTAAACATGCATGCTTCCCAAGCACACTATAAATATTCTTCATGATGGGTTATATGTTAGATAAAAAATGACTTTCAGCACTTAAAAGAGTAATGCCAATGATTCTCCAACTTTTTAAAAAATTTGTGAGGTGCCCACCTTCTAAACTCTTTCTAAGAGTCTCTAATCAGTGTATTACCAGTACTAGACAAAGGCAAAAGAAGAAAATCAAACTTCTGACAAATGCTCTTAGTATATATAAATAAACTACTCCCAAATCATAGTCAACTAAGTTCTATTAGACTTTAAAAGGATTCTGCACCATGACAAGCTCAAAGTTATTCTGGAGATGCACTGATGATTCAACATCTTCAAATCAATAAATTTGATGCGTTAAATTAAGAGAATAAAGGAAAAGAATCAACTTCTCACCACAGAAAATAACATATAAAAATTCAAGATTTCATGATAAAGCCTCTAAAAAGTAGAGATACGAGAATATAACCTGTACATAATAAAATTAATCATATTTAAAGCCATATTTTTATCATACGGAAGAGTGAAAGGTTAAAATATTTTGCTATAGTATCTGTAAAAAGGCAAAAAATAAACTTGGTGACACTTTACTTCCAGATTTCAAAAGCAATAACAAAAATAGAATAATAAAAATAGGATGGCATTGGCATAAATATGCAGAAAGAGCTCAGAAATAAACTGATATATCAATGGCAAACTGATTTTCAGCATGAGAACCGACAATATACAATGGATAAACCAAGTCTCTCCCTAAGAGTGTGTTAGGAAAGCTGGATCTACATATGCAAAGAATTAAGAATTTTACATTAGAATATACACAAAAATCACTCTGAAGGGCTAAATATTTAAACATATGGTCTGCAATTGTAAAACTTCCCCCACCCAGAAAATATTAACAATGATTTCCTATATTTCACATTAAAGACACATAAAACAAAAGCAGAATTAAACAAGTGGAACTACATCAAAAGAAAAAGATTCTGCAAAGCATCCAAAAAATTCCAACCTACGGAATGGGAAAATACAATTGTAAGTCATGCATCTGAAAAAGGGTTGATATCCAAAATATACATGCAACATCTGCAACTCATTAGCAAAATCATATTTGCCTGATTGGATAGTGATCAGTTTTTCACTTAAAAAATTTAAGAACATAGATCTCATGTTAAAGATTCTTCCCTCTGGGTAATGGTAAGTTCTATGGTACACTTGGTTAGGGTAGACTTTGAATTTACTCACTCCAACACTGTGAATTTACTTAAGACAAGTAAAATGGGTGGGCCTGATTCCCTCAGAGCAGAACTGGAGAAAATGAAATTCCTTGGTGATTCAGCAGCTTAGCCTCTCTCTGGGACTTCCAGCCTGCACTTATTGATGGATGATCTTACGGACCTTTTATATTCCCAGACATCTCCCAAAATGGTCATCCTCTGTATCTCACAGAAAAGTGTCATGTCCTTCTGTAGCCTGTCAACCCTGAAAAACAGACAGAAAGAGACTCTAAAATATAATAATATTTATTCTAGGATGTGCACTGCAATTGAAATGTGTATGGGTGCATTCAGGTTGGTGTAGGAAGATAAAGAGTAAAGGAGGGGTCAAGCTGAATCCAGACTTGGAGGGAGGGGATCACATCAGATCGGACTTAATAGGAAACGTTATAAAAATACTACCCTGGGGGCTGGGTCATACTCGGGTGGTAAAGGCATTTGGATACCAGGGGCAGATGTCTATAAGGAAATAGGGGACCAGATTAGATTTTCTGGCTGGGATTGGTTAAGTACAGCTTGGGGAGACAGGTAATTCTTTTAATGTGGTGGCCTTTGTGCAAGGTTATGGTTGTGCAGAGTCTCTTTTTGATAGTTCTTGTTATCAGGGATATGTGTGCTAGAACCCTCCTTCATGGCCTTCCCCAGCTTCATTCATTAGGGTTTTAACACAAGTGGCTCCATCTTGATTCTAATGAATTTCACCAGCTCTTTCTAACACTACTTCTGAAGCAGATGACTCTGACAGTGTGCATGGAACAGGGTTAATTCCACATCTCATTTTGACCAAATAAGTTTATCCCCTTCATTATTAACAGCCAGTTGCATTCCCAGATGAGTCTACACACAACACAGTAGAGGGTCCTGAGAAAATGGGGAGAGAAGGCAGTGGCTTCTCCCACGTGGCTGCAGGAGCCACAGGCTGAGCCCCACCTGAGCTCCAAGAAAATGCCTTGAGCCCTGGAATGTACACCGTGGAGACCATTCTGTTTCTTTTTCAGGAAGCAGGAAAAGCAAATAAAAAAGGGAGAACAAACACTCCAAAGAAAGAACATGGATTGGGAGAAAAAGGAGCACCAGGTCAGTGCTGATACTGATTGGATTTAGTGTCAGGAGAAGGGTCAGACGTGAAACCTGTGAGGTTCTACATGACACTGTCCCTGGCCCAGCCTCTCTCTTGACTGTGATAAAAATTCATAGACTTCTAGTCAAGGGATCTCCTTGAGGTTTCTGTCTGGGTCTGATTGGAAAAGACTCACCAGGCACTGCTGAGTTTCCTCAGGAGTCTGATCCTTGGTGACCATGGTTGAGCATTTTTCATCTCTCTAAGCATCAATCTGCATTTCTTGCATGCGAGAATAGGTCCTCATATTAAAAAGATCTTTTTAAAAACAAGTAGAGATGACATTAGTAAGCACAGCATTATAAACTTAGAGAGGTTAACTAGAGAAACTGTGAGAAGATGAAGTCCCACATCCTGACAGGAAATCAGCCTCCATCTGCACTTGCCTCTGGGATTGACTCTGATCAGTGGGTCCTGAGTGCCCCCTGCAGCTGATTTTCCCTGAGCATTTCTGCAGGGAGGTTTGTGTCTGGGCTCACACTGACTTCCCCTCACTGTGTCTCTCGCACAGTAATGGACAGCCGTGTCCTCAGCTCTCAGGCTGTTCATTTGCAGATACAGCGTGTTCTTGGCGTTGTCTCTGGAGATGGTGAATCGGCCCTTGACAGAGTCTGGGTAGTATGTGCTACTACTGCTACCACTAATACTTGAGACCCACTCCAGCCCCTTCCCTGGAGCCTGGCGGACCCAGAACATCCAGTAGTTACTGAAGGTGAATCCAGAGGCTGCACAGGAGAGTCTCAGGGACCCGCCAGGCTGGACCAAGCCTCCCCCAGACTCTACCAGCTTCACCTCACACTGGACACCTGCAAACAAAAAGAAACCCTGGTCAGAAACTGCCACACATATCCAGTTTATCTCACTCTGATTCACTCACACTCAACTTTTTCTATTTCTCTATGTATTACCTTTTAAAATAGCAACAAGAAAAACCCAGCTCAGCCATGGCTCCATGGTGAGTCCTGTGTGTTCAGTCCTGATCACCAAATGAAAACACCTGAAAATGCCAGGTCTGGGTCTCCTCTCCCAGAGCTGCAGGGTCAGGGCTGGGCTGGTTATCATAAGCAGAGGGAGGGCTCTATTTGCATGTCTCCTACTATATAGCAAGCTCTGGGGTGAGAGGTCTTTGGAGATAGTGGGGCTCAGAGCACGTGAAAATGTCCTGGGGGAGATTTGTGATATTGATAACATTTTGGAAATTGTTGTTTCTTATTGTCAGTTTTTTCTGTAATAAAACCTTAAAATGTAATAAAAGTTATAATTTTGTAATTTCTTTTTTAAAACGTGTTGTATTGAGGTACAATAGATGTACATAAACTGCATGTATTTAAAGTTAGCACCAATCATCTTTTATTTTTACATATGCAGAGAAAACATGGTATGTTGTATCGATTTTATTTCCATGTTACAGATGAAAAATTACCAGCAAAATCACAGATGGTTTCTACCATGTCCCCAGAGCTCACATTTGGTCAGAGTGAGCCTGGGTATCTGGGCCTGTGCTTCTTACCACTGGGTCCGACTTCAGGGTGTCGCACCTGGTGAAGTTTGCAGAACCTTTTCTCTGTAATGAGAACATGGTATGATGTGTATGCACTGTTGTAATTGCCTATCAAATGTTAAGAAAAGCACATTTTCTACAGTTTTATTTCCTCAAGTGTCATACATTTCTCATGTGAGTGTCTTTCTATAAATCTTTATTGAACAAATTACCCACTCATTTGCCAAACGCTTATTGAGGCATTATTGCTATAAAATAAAATTTTAATAAGCACTGAAGCCGAGCATGGTGGTGCATGCCCGTAGTCCCAGCTACATAGGGCAGACAGAGGAGGACTGCTGGAGACCCAGGTTCTGAGGCTGCAGAGAACTATGATCTCACCACTGAGCTCCAGCCTGGATGACAAAACAAGACCATGTCTCCAAAGGAAAAATAAATGTAATTTCACATGTGCTCACCTGTGCATCCAAAATAACAGTCAAGATAATGACGACTTACACTTAAAAGCGTCCCCCTATTTCTCTGCTTATTGCCTCCCAGTCATTTCCTTCTCACCATACTGAGTCAATCTCTCATCTTTGTTACTTCAGATATATTTTCTAAGATTTTGTTAAAGTGAAATCTTATAGTTTCCATATCATTTGTGTGGCTTCTTGCTCAGCATAATTACTTGTGAGTCAGTAATTTGGCTGTGTATAAACAATGTGTTGATTCTAATGAGGAACAGTATTTCAGTTAATGACTGCACCCCTACCATTTATTTATAAAGCTCCTTAATATTTGTATGATTACCAGTTTCTGAGTATTAGTTAGCCTGGAGATGTAGGCATCCCAAAAATATATATATATATATTATTTTTAAAACAACAACTAACCTTACCGAGCTGCAAAATAGCACATTTTCTTTAGTAAGAAAGGTTAATGTTATAGGATGAAAAATAGACCTTACATTTTGAGAAAGTCAATGACTTGCCAGAATAAACAGGAAGAATATGACCTTATCTGGGGTAGAGGTAAGCAAATGTCATATAACCTAATGCAGGATTAAATTAGACATATTCTTTAGATTGTTTAGAGTTGAGTATAATAAAGAGGTTATTGCTTAAATTCTCAGAAGACGTACGATTGACGGGGATTCCTATCGCTATTGAAAACTTTTCTCCCAGGATTGAGGACACATCACAAAAATCTCCACCCTCTTTCTCCCAAGATGGTTCTGTGTGAGAAAGTGGAACAGCAGCTGTGGCTGAAATGTATCCAGACCCACCTCCCGTGCCACCACGACTTTACCAAAGAATTAACACGCAGGGGCAAAACCACTAACATCTCTGTGTTACTGGCACTGGAGGAACTCATGGAAACTGGGACAGAAGAAATAAAAGCTCAAAAGTTCTGTCCATTCTCTCAGGAATAACAGCCTCATCTCCCATCTCCTCTTTCTTCCCTTGTTAATAACAGTCTCATCCTGCTGGGAAGGGCAGAAAAGAGGAAGCTGAGGACATCAGTGGGAAGACATAGTGGTTGCTGGAAGAAGATCTGGGAAAAAACAAGCAGACCTTCTACCCAGAAATGGGAGGAAGATGCATGGATCAGCATTGCACTTGCAGGAGTGGCAGAGATACTTGGAAGGACACACCCTGAGCCAGGACTGCAATGTCTGCCTACAGTATGGCTCCCTAAGAAGGACAGAAAGTGCCCGTTCAGTGCAACCCTTCCCACCATATTGACAATTGTCAGGTCCATGTGGCTTTGGGATGAGCTGGGGAATCTGGAAGACAGAGTTTTGCTGGATAGCACAAGATTAAGACCCAAAGGCAAGCAGGAAACAAGATTAAGTTGTCACTGGAGGAATCTGAGTGTCTGGTGACTGCAGAGGAAACGCAGTTCAATTCCGGCAGCCACTGCGACAATGACTTTCAAATTTGTAGCCCTGACTAGTTTCACACAATTTTCTACAATAAAGTCCTAGAAAAGATAGTGTATGATCATCTACAAAAAATGAAGAAACCATAAACCAAATAATTAGCTGATATAAGGAATCTAAGTATCTGTGGAACATAAATTTTGAAATAACTGCATAAATACTTTGAAACATTTACATTTGATTCCATAGTTCATCTCTGTGTACCTTCATAAGAAATTGCCAACAAGTGTTTATTTTTAATAACTAATACTTTTTTACTATTATGCTTGTGAATATAACAACCATCACACAGTAGGTTCTATTAGAACTACCGATAAAAAATCAACTTTGGAATTTTTTTTTTTTTGGAGACAGAGTTTTGCTCTTGTTGCCCAGGTTGGAGTGCAATGGCATAATCTCGGTTCACTGCAACCTCCACCTCCTAGATTCAAGCCATTCTCCTGCCTCAGCCTCCTGAGTAGCTTGGATTACAGTCATGCATCACCATGCCCGGCTAATTTTGTACTTTTAGTAGAGACAGGGTTTCTCCATGTTGGTCAGGCTGACCTCGAACTCCCAACCTCAGGTTATCTTCCAGTCTCGGCCTTCCAAATGGAAAATTCTTAGATTTATTATGGGCCAAATGTGAGGCCCATGCCCTGTGACACAGCCCCACAAGATCTTGAGAACATATGCCCAAAGTGGTTTGATTGCAGCTTAAATTTAATGTCCTAGAGAGACAGACATCAATCAATACATGTGAGATATATGTTGATTTGCTCCATAAAGACAAGACAGCTAGAAGGGAGGCAGTGTGGGGAGGGGATTACAGCTTATAGCTGGATTCAAAGATTTTCTGATTGGCAATTGATTGAAAGACTTAAGTTTTAATCTAAAGACCTGGAAAAAAAAGTGTCTGGGTTAAGATAACTGGTTTTAGAGAACAAGATACTTCTTATGAGGATGAAGCCTCTTAGGTGGCCACCCTTAGAGGGAATAGATGGAAAATGTTTTCTATTAAGACATTTAAGAGATTCTAGACTCTCAGCTAATCTCCTCAGTATAACAAAAATACCAGGAAAGGGAAGGAGACTGTTTATAAAATGTAAATTTCTCTCACAAAAGATAACTGTGAAAGACAATTTTAAAATATGTCAAAGAAATATATTTTAGGGTAAAAGACTTTGATTCCTTTCCAAGCCTGTTACCTGTCATGTGATGCTATTCTTGAGTCAGGTTGGAATTTGGTATCTTACTGCTACTACGGATCTGTTTTCTGAGGTTTAAGGTTGGTTTTAATGAAAATGCTGGTTAGTTGTGCTTGAATTCCAAAGGGAGGACGGTATGAGGCATTTCTGATCTTCCGTTTCTAACATGGCGTGAACTAGGTTTTCAAGTCTCTGGAACTCCTTTTTGAAGAGAAAGGGTCCATCCAGTCAGTTGGGGTGCTTGGAATTCTACTTTTCATTCATAGGACATATATGAGACTTATTCTAGACAGGGGTATGAGAAAATATTTACTGTGGTAATCACATTGAAGTTGAGAGTTGAAAGATGACACCAGATTCCTCCCTGCAAACCTTTCCACCTGACAGTAGAAGAAGAAAACTTACCAGGAACAAATGTTAACATTTCTTGTGTGTTCAAAATAGCCACCCGTTAGGAAAATAATTAAACTTGGGGGACTTATCTTTAGAAGTAAGTAGTCTAGCTGATTTCTAAAGTCCTTTACAAACCCAAAGATTCTGATTCGTTTACAGATTATGCAGAACATCCCATCTAATGGGAATATGCAATTAGCTGGATTCCTCTGCATTTGTATTTTTTTATGTTTAGTTCATATAGATACACAATAGTTCAAAACCTTTATGTGGTATATGTGATATTTTGATAAAAGAATATTATGGCAGTGATCAAATCTGGATAACTGGGATATCCTTCATCTGAATAATTGATTATTTCTTTGTGTTAGGAACATTCTAAATTTGATCCTCCAGCTATTCTGAAACCCACATTAAATTATTAACTGTAGTGGTCTATGTGCCATTTTAGCATTCCCACCAGCAAGGGGTGAAAGCTCCTAATTTTCAGCTTCTTGATCAACATTTGGTACTCTCTATATTGTGTATTTTACCCATTCTGATAGGTTAGCAGTATTTTTGAATAGTAAACATTCATATACCTAATGTAAATCAAGCTGATCACATTTTTATATTTGTTTTTAGATGTGGTTTCAATTCAGGACTTTACCTATTTTAAAATTAAATTATGTGGTTTTTTTGTTCAATTCTAAGGTAATTTGTATATTTGTGATAAAAGTCCCTTTCCAAACATTTGATTTGCAAGGAAATTCTCCAAATATATGGCTTATATTTTTACTGCCATGTAAGGGTTTATTTTCAAAGGCCTAAGCTTGCTAGATTAATCCGTGGCCATAGGATTATGAAACACCTTTCTCTCCACACCCTACAATGATATTACTAAAGGCCTCTTTACAGCAGTTTCTGTCACCTTTACATAATTTCTGGCTAAAAAAATATCATGAGTCATACTATATCACAGTGTGATAAGACAGAACAAGCATTAAATGAGACTCAG